GGAAATCCTACTTGGATTCATCATTGGCGACCACAATTTTAATAACATAAGATACGCAGGCGACACATTGTTAATAGAAGACACGGAAAGAAAATTACAAAAGGTAGCAAAGGAGAGCGAGAAGAAAGAACTAAGCATAAACTACAAGAAGACAAAATGGTCATCAGCAAAAAGATGAGCCTGAAATGCGATTTACAGGCCGAGGGAGCTAAACTCAAGCAGGTGCGGAAATTTAAATATCTGGGAAGTGTTCTGTAAGTACGTTGCTGAGATCCGAAGATATACTGGGAAAACGCATTCCAAAAGCTAGTCATAGTACGAGACAGGAGGGTTTCGTTGGTAACAAAGAAAAGAGGATTGAACTACTACGTGATGTCTGTCCTTCTTTACGGCAGCGAATGTTGTACGGCCCCTTTTAAAGATGAGAAGAGACTCAAGGCAAAAGAGAAATGGTACTACAGAAGGATGCTAAGGATACCATAGACAAAACATGTGAGCGACCATGAGGTTTTGGAGAGGATGCAAACAGAGGAAACTTATACTGAACATCAGATAGAGGTAGCTGAAATTTCTGGGACACGTAATGAGAAAGGAGGGCTTAGAAAATCTGATACTCATAGGGCGGATAGAGAGAAAGGGGAACAAGGAACATAGCAGAGTAGGGTCTGGGAGAAATAACAAAAAGAAAATACTTACTGAGAACTACAAACGACAGGAAGGAATGGAGAGCCATTATCGCCTACGTCCTGAAAGGACACAGCACATCAAAAATAGAAGATTTGACCATAGCAGAGACTCTAAAAGGTGCTACCACCCTGTGTGAGCGGTTAAGAGGTATCTCCACGCTCCTCAATATCTCCAATCTCTCGGTCAAAAAACTTGCTGCCGGATGTAATACATCGTCATACCCAGGACAGATCTTTTGTGATATGTCAGTTTCATCGTTTTCAAATATCACGTCTTCACGTAACAGTTTGTATTATGGTGTTGTTTTTATTTATGTTTATATTTATTATATTTGTTCCTATTAGGTTGGTGCAAAAATAATGACGTAATAATGTCGTTTTGTGACGTATTTTTTAACATCAAAAAACGACATTATTACGTCATTATTTTTGCACCAGCCTAATAATTTTGATCACATTCTATTGATGTTGGTTATATATATATATATATATATATATATATATATATATATATATATATATATATATATATGTATGTATGTAGGTATATTTCATTGAAAACGACCGACAAGTTGCTTTTATTAAGCTTATTTTTATAAATTTCTCATGCGATCTAATAATTCTTTTTTCTTTTCGGTTGATAAATTATATAAACACTGTCCGAATGTTCTTTTTATTCGAGCGCTTTCGGCTATACATTTAGCCATTTTCAAGGATTAAATATTTTAACTGTTAAATATGAAATAGTTTGTTGTATGTATTTTTATAAAATGTTTTCATTTTTCAAAACAGGGTCAAGATATTGTGTCTATGTTCAAAGTTAATATTATGAAGTGCTCGTTTTTTGTTTTTATTAATTAGGCTTGCATTATTTTAAGCCTTTTTTTGCATGTAGATGATGCTATTATATTAGTGTTGTCAATGACATTGCTGCCTAAATACACACACACACACACACACACACACACACACACATATATATATATATATATATATATATATATATATATATATATATATATCCAAATGAGAGAAAGAACAATGATTATCTGTCTATGTTCTGGTTTATCATGACATGAAAATATAACTTACCCACCTCCACGCTCTGAGCTCTCTTTTCTATTTAGCGTAGATCTAACATTTAATTGGTTACTCAAGACATACCTATGTGTCTATTTTTAATTCTGACCTTATGTTCCACCCACCTTAACTTTCGAAAAGGAGGTAACTCTTTGGTTTAACAATTAATTACAAGTTACTTACCATCGCCTGAAGAAGTACAATAAATGTATTGAAATATGAAAGCTTTTGTGCAGCGATTTCAACATGTTTTTATTATAATCTCTTATAATAAAATAATGAACACACACACACACACACACACACACACACACATATATATATATATATATATATATAATGTATTTTAAGTTCACCCCAAGAAGAAAGTAAAACTACTCAGGCACAAGGGGTTATTTTTGTGCGTGTAGATACTGAGGTGATGGGATGCTGTGAAGGAAATATTAGATAAAATATCTTCAACTATTTCTGACTGTTTCGTTCGATTCCCACTATGCTTCTGGAAAAACTTGAGTTAAATCACAATACAGACAGGGCTGTCTTTCCTTGATCGGCAACCAATCTAGAAGAAGGAAAACGCTGAATTAAAACCCAGATACATATTATACTAAACTGTATAATTTAGACTTGCTAGGGCCACCAGTCTCATAGAACAATGTGAAAAACCAGAACCAACCTAAAGAAGGATGATCACTATCAGGTTATGTTGCTATACCTACTACTGCGACGGTTGAAGTATATGTAGTACCCTTATGACGGATGCACTATTGGGCTAGTGGTCGTGATCGTCACAAGACACAATAGCGACAACAATTTCATATGATCTGAACTTTGAAGAGAGGGAGAGAGAGAAGGGAAGAGAGAGTGGGGGGAGAGAAATCAAACAGATCAGTTATTCGTTAACGTTCGCATTTAGGGGTGTGTTCACATGCGTACATGCACGTCTCTGCATTAATTTGGCTATATTCTCATATACTTATAAAGTAGGCGTACCCTCCGAATTGCCGAAGATTTTAGATATTATTAAAGTTCCCTCTCAAGGTTGGCTGACAGAAAGTGACAGTGTATTTGCCACTACGATAAAGTCAGGTAAGCTAAGAATGTTATGGGAGAGTGGCTTATTCAAGTGCTCATTAACCAGCTCATTTCTCCGTCAGCTCCCGTGACATGACTGACGAAATAAAAATAATGAGGAGCTAATAAAACATTTTGGAAGAGAATTCCGGCAAGCGTGGATTCATGCCTTTCTTTGAAGATCAATTGAGCATTTTTGAAATCAGCAGTCGTGCAAGGAGCTGTCACGTTACACGAATGCTTTTCGCGTTACACGTACGCTTGTCACATTTTAAATAAAATACCAAAAACGAAAGTAACATTTACACTTGCTACTTTGGACTGTTGTCCTCATCTTTGACGTCGCTATTAAAAAATTTTGGCCGTTTTGCCCTCCGGCTTTCATTAAGTGCATATCAATCCCCTTAATCGACAGTAAATTTCGAACTAAGTCCTTTATTTAATCTACGTGTTGGCCGTTCTCGTTCCACAGTCCATGTTTAGGGATATCTCGTCTAGATCTTATTTTATAAGGCTCAGTTATTTCTCGCTCTGTTTTTACAGACTTCAAATAGACATTGCCTGAACCAGGGATTGAACTCATTTATATGGAGCACTGTAGGTCAGCTATTTTTGAAATACTCAGACTTAGCCGTCTTGCACAAACAAACTAGCAGCATTCAAAACCACTTTAAATTAATTTTTTTCCCATTCTAATGCTGCAAACGGAAACGATGAAGTTCGCCGTGACCTTGTTTAAATGTTTTCTTTTCATTAAATTGATGTCACGTCATTGGCTGATTAGAAAAGTGCATTTGTTCACTTAAGTTATTAGTGAGTGTATATTTGTGATAAACACAATATAATTTTATATTTATATCTATCATGCCGTTTGATCTTTTTTACCTGAGACAATGAGATATTCCGTTCTACCTATTGATCCACTGATTCGTTTTCTACGCAACCCTTATTTAAAGTCAGAAAAAAGAATTAGATATTAAAAATTATTATGTTGGGGAGATAATAGAGATTTTAGTAATACATGTCTTACTAATTATCAGGTTATTTTCGCGTAAGAGAATATAACGAACACAACTGGAATTGGAACTCAGCTCTCCCATTAACAATTCGGAGCCGTTTATCTATTACGTCATTCATACATCCAACCTTAGTGCACCTGATATTCCCAAGCAGTCACCCATCAAGGTAGCGCCAAGGCTCGACGTATCTTAATTTCGGTGTTCGTACAGCAATCGATGTTTTAACGTGATGCGGCCGTAAGGCTGTGTTACGACAAGAATAAGACCGGATTACTGATATATTATTTACTAAGAATTTACTATCGTAAATATTGCGACAAGAATAAGATCGGATTACTGAAATATTATTTACTAAATATTACGATACGAATAAGACCAAATTAAGGTATATATGTTTACTAAAAATTTACTATTGTAAATATTACGACAAAAATAAGACCGGATTACTGATATATTGTTTACTAAAAATTTACTATTGTAAATATTACGACAAAAATAAGACCGGATTACTGATGTCTTGTTTACTAAAAATTTACTATTGTAAATATTGCAAGAATAAGACCGGATTACTGATATATTGTTTTGCATTTGTGTTGTTTAGTGATAATTTGCCTTGAATTTCTTTTTACTTTTAATGATTAAAAAAAATGAGATTTTGAAAATGCTGAAGAACTGGCGATTTTATTTCAGCATATTTTATTATTTTAAAATAAAGGAAAAAATATTTGGTTTAAAATTAAAGAATTTCCTTCAGTAAATATAAATAAATATAGATAAATGCGTTATTCAGTTACTTAAAAAAAGATATGATCACCTCAGAGAAAATTCAAATATATCCCGTAATTCATCCACGTGTTAGAGTTAACATAAGGGTCAATTGGTACAAAATACTTAATGGCTTGCTCTCTTTTTTTAATTCTTTTTTTTGACTCCTCTTGATTTTTTTCTATCTTTTAATCTCACTTTTTTTTCTTGCTTTCGATATATTTACTTTCTAATTCTTCCGTTTCCTCCAGTTTTGGGGAAAAAATTAGTTGAGCGATGCCACAATTTGAAACGTAGAGACAAACATCCTGTATCCAAAGATGGGAAATAACACTGACTTGAAATATGTCTCAATTTCTATGTACAGACTGTATATATGCAACTATCTATCTATCTATCTATCTATCTATCTATCTATCTATCTATCTATCTATCTATGTATGTATGTATCTATCTATCTATCTATCTATCTATGCATGTATGTATGTATGTATGTATATATGTATGTATGTATGTATGTATCTATCTATCTATCTATCTATCTATCTATCTATCTATCTATGCATGTACGTATGTTTGTATGTATCTATCAATCTATCTATGCATATATGTATGTATGTATGTATCTATCTATGCATGTACGTATGTATGTATCTATCTATCTATCTATGCAGGTATGTATCTAACTATGCATGTATGTATGCATGTATCTATCTGTCGCAGTCTGTTCATTATCTATCTATCTATCTATCTATCTATCTATCTATCTATCTATCTATGCATGTATCTATGTATGTATGTATCTATGTATCTATGCATGTATGTATGTATGTATGTATGTATGTATCTATCTATCTATCTATCTATCTATCTATGCATGTATGTATGTATGTATCTATGTATGTATCTATCTATCTATGCATGTACGTATCTATCTATCTATCTATCTATCTATCTATCTATCTATCTATCTATCTATCTATCCATGTATGTATGCATGTATGTATCTAGTCTGTTCATGTGTTCATTATATATCATGTATCTATGTATCTATCTATTCATCTGTTCACATCTATGTATGTATGTTTGTATATATGTTTGTATGTATGCATGCATCTATTTATCTATCTATTGCAGTCTGTTCATTATCTATCTATCTATCTATCTATCTATCTATCTATTTCAGTTTGTGTAGTTAAAACAGCTCTCGTGATTAATCATAAAAATTTCGACCGTAAATTTGGCAACTTATTTAAAACTGCGTTTGCTTTCAATCGTATATAATGTTATTACTACCGGAACGTTTAATGTTAGATGACTCGTGAAAAAAGAAAAGTAGAAATTATCGGCTTGGGACATTGATAGTCATAACATTGATGTATGTTGTTTGCAAGAAACGAAAACAAAAGAAGCATTTCATATTAATATCGGAGATAGATAACATAAGTTAATAGCTTTGGAAACAGTAAATATTATGGAAATGATTTTATCATCAACACCAAATGGAAGAATAGTATCCATAGACATTGGGAAGTCACAGATAGAATATCAGTTTTGCAGCCTAAGGAAGGAATATGAAAGAAATTTGAGGTAAAGGCATAAATCTTAAATTAAATACAAAATTCATATTAACTCAAATGAATAACTCGACCAACCTCCAGTTCCTATCCCACGAACGCAGGTGTTCGCCAAGGCTCCATCCTTGGCCCCACTCTATTCCTTATTTTCTTCAACGACCTTCCTGACGCCATAGATTCCCAAGTTGGTATCTACGCGGACGACACTACAATTTACTCCTGCCTGAAAAACAAATCTAGTGTCGGTGACAAAACTAACCTGGCCGTGCGTCTTGAAATGGACCTCCAATCGGTTGTTAATTGGGCCAAGAATTGGCTGGTCAATTTTAACGCCTCAAAAACTAAACTACTCTCTATTAATCACCATAGAGATCCTTCCCTGCCCCCATTATGTCTGATAGTCAACTTCTTGAGAGCAATTCCCTGCGTCTGCTCGGTCTCACGTTGACTGCTGACCTGAGATGGAACAAATACATTAAGTCAATTGCTTCTTCCACCGCAAGGAAAGTTGGCTCTCTGTGCCGCGCCAGGAAATTTTTCTTCCCGGAATCGATACTTCAAATATACAAATCAACCATTCGCCCTTGCATGGAGCATTGCTGCCATATATGGTCTGGGGCACCTTCTGTTTATCTCGGAGTTCTTAACAAGATCCAGAGACGGATATGTAATATAATTGGCGTCTCGTCTACAGTCACCCTCTCACAGACGCGCCGTCGCCTCTCTCTGTCTTTTCTACAAATACTTTCATGGTAATTCCTCTGATGAGCTGCTTTCACTGGTTCCCAGACTCCACGAATTCAAGCGCCCTACGAGGCTGGCATTCCGCTCCCACCCTTACACTGTAGAAACTTTTAAATGTAGCCGTCTCTTCTACTCCAATAGCTTCATACCTCGCACCTCTCACCTGTGGAACACCCTTCCCAATTACTGTTTCCCTGAGAGCTATAATCTCCAACTATTCAAATGTAATGTCAATCGACATCTCCAGTTACCTTGATCTATCAACTATCCCTCTCCTCATCCTTGCTTCTATTACTCCTATCTGCTCTTGCTCCAAATCTTCTGCAACCCCATGCATCCTCGTGGCTTCACCCCTTGCTCGGGGCGTAATGCTTAAAAAAACAAACAAAAAAAAACAACATCTTATACACATTCAACAAGACATCACAAGAACTATCAATAAAATTCCTTCATTCTTCTTAATAACTTTGAAGAGCTTTGTAGACCTGAATCTTGTTAGTTAAGTAGTGCAGCAGGAAGGTTTGGTGAGGACTAATAAGAGCTAATTGCATTATAGATATCTTTACACATGATGGCCATTAAAATAAACATTTCTATTGAATTATCAGATTAAACATTCAGTGTCCGTTGTTTCAATAATGCAACCCATTTTATGATATTTTTAATACCACACGAGCTTTAATTATCGCTATTTTATATTTATTGATGATATATAAAGGAAATATCATGAATAGAATATGAGCTGACACCAATTCATTACTTAAAAAATTATATTGATTTTGGTTAAATTTTGCAACATCGTTTAGTAGTGTTACATGAATGAACTTTACAATTCAAATAAATATTTCCATGCAATATCAACTAAAGTACTAAACTATAAAATACGAAACTCTACTTAACTTCGTTATTTGTAATGATTTTTTGAAAAATGGTACTCGTACGATCACCGAAGTTAAGCAAAGTCGAGCCTAGTCATTATAGAGAAGAGTGACCGTTTGGGTATACAAAGTTCTGTAATCTTGGATATACAGGTTGTGTAATGGTTAACGGGTCGGAATTGGAATTTGGAAGGCAGAATTCCAATTCAATTAGAGTTCATTATATTAATTTACGCACAATCACCTTCGAGAAAGACATGAATCCAACTCTCCTCCTCTAGTTATGGGTCAATTTTCAGAGCTTGTATCCGTAAAGCAGGCACGCAACCATAACATTTTAGGTGCTTCTTCAAAAGCCAAATGGTGACCCCAAATCTTTTATGTATATATATATATATATATATATATATATATATATATATATATATATATATATATATATACTCGTTTGAGTTACGGTTTTACTTGGTTGATTTTTTTAGTCACGTGGTCATGGTTATTTCTATATTTTGTTTAACCCTTACCTCGTTGGTCAGTTGATCCTGACGATCCGTATAGATGTGTTATGTAGTGGTTTCACAGTGGAGGCTTGTATTTGTACTAAGTCGGTACTAAATTAGGTTCGAAGTACAAAACGTTAGGAACTTGATATAAATAGGTAATGACGCAGTAATCTAGTTGTGGTGGCTGATACTTTAATATCCGACTAAATGTCGTCCGACATCGACTGACTGATCAGCTCACTGAGCGACTGACTTGTTACTCTTACTACTCCTACTTATTATAGGTGGGTGGGTCAATTAACTATAGAATAGTTGTGTTCCACTATAACAAGGTGAAACCTAGGTAGGTTTACCTGGCTCTTTAGGTTCATATATATATATATATATATATATATATATATATATATATATATATATATTATTATGCATTTCTACAGTAAACTCCATAGTGGTTATAGAAATGTTGGTAGACCTTAGCTCTAGTGTAAAGATAAACTGAAAGCAACCTTTCTTGCGACAACATTCTATTCAAGAACTTTGAAAAAGTAGCTATGAAGAGATCAGAGTATGGTTCTAACTGCCATTCAGGAATAATACACCATCAAGAAGTAAGAATCAGTCGGCTGCATGAAACACGAAAGGAAAATAAGACAGCTAGCAGTGTTGCTGATGCAATTCGATATAATAAATTCTCCTGTACTGTTTGTGGTCTTTTGTTTAATTCTCGAGCTGGTCTCAAAAGTTACGCCCCTCATAGGCATGCAGATAATTAGTTCGTGGTCCCTGAACCTCATACGTCGAACTCGACGGGAGAATCCATCATATATATATATATATATATATATATATATATATATATATATATATATATATATATATGTGAGCCAGACAAAACCTACCCAGGTTTCACCTAAGGGAATCGTCAGGAAAGCTTAGGTTTTTCGAGATGAGTATATAGTTATATATATATATATATATATATATATATATATATATATATGAAAATTTCTCCGATTTAATCGGTAGAGAAGACAATATATTGTCTTTCTACCGATTAAATCGGAGAAATTTTCATATTTGTCGACATGGAAAAAAAATTAAATATATATATATATATATACTTCTAACAAGCAGGTCTTGCGTGCGTTACAAAAACAAGCAATGCAGCACCCCCTTTTCTTCCTACTGCTCCTGTCAATGATAGACTTACCCGCCACTCTGGTTTTGTCGCACGCAGTAAAGCAGCTCTTGGCGTCCACTGGTGGAAACATGTGGCAATTGACCCTGAACCAGCCAAGAAAAATGGCTCAACCACATGGTCCATCAGTCTAAAAGTTTGCAAAACATTTACAGGCCTCGGGAGACATAAATCTATCCACAAAATTTGAGCCCCTCTTAATTTTACTGATCCCTCAATTCTCGTTCGCGACAAGAGTGTCTAACATATATAGTTTACTAGAAATCAACCACTCCTTCGAGGTGTTTCATATCCTACAAATCATATACAATAAACATCTGAACAAATGCCTAACGTACAAGAAAAATAAAATAAAAAATCTAATTAAATTAATGACCAATTCTTACAACTTATCAGCAACACACAGGAATTTATCGCAACAAACACCCTGCTTAGACATCACCATCGGCATATCCAAACCAACCCACATAAGGCTCTACAAACCTACTGCGTCAACATATCCAACTCCAAGCCATCAGCAGAAGAACAATCTACTATCAAAAGAACTGTCGTCCCTAGATTTTTGTTGTTATTATCGCTTTTCTCGTTTGGAAAATTGGTAAGGAATCAGCACATTAGCATATGTGCTGATTCCTTACCAATTTTTGTGGCCTATCATGGCAACAAAAATCTCCTGAGCCGACAAGTATAGAAATGAATACAATATGGGAACCAGTAGTAAGGAGTGTCAGAAAAAAGCGATAATAACAACAAAAATTGCAATATGAGCTCTGATAAAAACATGAATGATAACAGTAAAAAATTGCAATATGACCACTGGTAAAAAATGATTACTGATTCATAATATCCAGAAATTCATACACAGATTTTCTCAAGGACACATGGCACAGTGGATTAAGGTGTTGGTTAGATCCAGTGACAGGACACAAAGAGTGTGAGTTCAATACCCGGTTAAGTCAGTGAAGAACTTTTAGAGGGGAATGAACAGGAGATAACTGACATCCATTAAACATGGCACGTGGAAATAGAACAGACTACCCCAGGAAGCGAAATAAAGGTTTCAGTTCGACATTCCAACGACTTGAAGAAGGCCGGAGTGTACAACGGCCGAAACGTTGTAATAAATATGGCGACAAAGATGAGAACAATAGTCTGAATAATGTAAATAGTGATTTTGATTTTATTTACAATATTCACAAGTTTTCCCATATATCAATAAAGGATTTTCAGTATTTAAAACACGAAATTACAAAGATATTCAGCGAGAACCCACCCAACGCTAGGCGTCAGCCTCCCAACATACACACGCTCCTAACATTATCTGGTATACATAATTCAACAACTCATCGAAGTAATATAACCTGCAATAAATCCCGGTGCCAAATCTGTAAACATATCATAACTGATAGCAATTCCACAGCCCGCAGAACTCACCCAATATTCAAATCACTGGCTCTGACTTGTGACAGTTCAAATCTTAGAATATTGACTTTTCTGCCTCCAATGTCCAAAAAAATGGAATTATGTTGGAGAAACGGGCACGGAATTCCGTTTTCGGTTCAATAACCGTAAAAAAAAAACATCAAAGACAACAACAATTTTTACCTGTCGCTGCGCACTTCAACCAACCGTTCCATAGGACTGATGACATCGGATGCGTGCTTTTAGCGTTTTCATTTAACAACCGACAAGAAAGACGAAGTTAAAATATATTTTCTAAACAGAATCACATATTAAAAAAAATAATTAAATTAAATTTAATTAATTAAATCATTAATTTTAATAACATATTACTTTAGTAACTCTCAATGCTTTGCTTCCAGACGCCGTATAGTTAGATTACTGACCTTAATATTAAATGAAACAATATCTGATATATTGTCTAAAATCAGCGTTTTAATGTTGATGGCACTTGACTTGAAATCCTATTTTTGAATAAGGTGTTGCATACCATGATGAAAATTGTGGCGAATTGAACAACCATCAGCTATCGATTAGTTTACTTTAAAAAGCAAGGGGAAGGACGAATCGTCACTAGCTGTCGAAAACTAAATTTTAATATATATATATATATATATATAAAATATAAATATAAATTTTAAATATATATATATATATATATATATATATATATATATATATATATATATATGTTCTTTTGGCTATGTGGAATTCCTAAAAGGTGAATATCCAGTTAAAACTCATAGTCAAGAGCTCAATGTATGAGAGTAATAACAAACCATACAGAGCAATATAATTAAGAAAAAATTTAAAGAAAAACCATACATTTGAATTTTCCAGCTATAAAGTTAAATTTATTTCTACAGTTTTGTCTGAAGCTGATTTATTGGGAACCAACTACAGAAATAAATTTAGGTTTATAGCTGGAAAATTCAAATGTAGGTTTATATATATATATATATATATATATATATATATATATATAGGTATCCATAAATTTCAGGGTATCCATAAATTTTTAAAAGATTTATAACTTTGTATTTGCGATAGAAATAATCTGTAAAAATGTTATAAAGTTTAATGTACCAAGTTTTTGTGATTTCAGGCATTACTGTAAATCAGTTTGCAAATGTTTTCCGTGAACTGCAAAATCGTATTACCCTTTCTATTGCTCATGATGGAGGATATGTGGAAACTTGAATAAAATTTCAATAAAAACCTTAAAAACTATAGATTTACTCTTTCTAATCGTCTTTACAAATTATTTCTATCGCAAATACACATAAAGTTATAAATTTTTAAAGTGCACATGAACTTTATGGACGCCCTATATATATATATATATATATATATATATATATATATATATATATATATATATATATATATATATATATATATTTTTATATATATATATATATATATATATATATATAATTGTTTATATATATATATATATATATATATATATAATTATATTTTTTATATATATATATATATATATATATTATATATATATATATATATATATATATATATATATATATATATATATATATATATAATTGTTATCCATTCTAATAATTTTCGTTTATATGCTTGCCTCCTTATTAACCTTTACAAACCCTCGGTAGGTTACCTGTGTCTATCCTCTTTTTCTTTTTGTCTTCAGTGTGCCCTGTGAATATCAAATCTTCAAAACTATTCTTTGCCATTGTGTCCTTGAAATTTCAGCTGTTTCTTTTTCTGATTCTTAGTACAAGTATCATTTTTGTTCGACCTTTTCTTTAAAACCTCGTTCGTTTCACGCATTTAATTCTCAGCATCTTTCTATAGATCTAAGATTCTGGTACCTCGAGCCTCATTTTCATCTGCTAGAAAATGATCCTCCACTCATTACTCTATGGAAAAACTGATATTACATTCTATTTGAACATTCTTTTCTTTGTTTATAACAGAATTTTCCTATTTCTTAATACTTTACTTAGCTTTTGGAAAACACTTTTTCTATTTCACTGCACCATCAGATTTATGTATCGTTTGTTATAAAGCTTGGTAGGTTTTCTATACTTGCTCAGTTGTGACGTATCCAGTTTCTAGCTGTCATCTTGGGATATTTACTCCTGCTAACGACTATACCTCACTACTCTGGTTGTTCGTGCTCATAAAAAGGAGAAAAGCATAATTTCAAGTGCTGTTGTTTAGGGAACATAACGCAAGGCAATCACCCTACACTTCATTATCTCCCATTCAGTGTTGTGTTTTAATAAGTAAATAGTTTAATAACTCTCAAAGCTTTGCTTCCAGACGCCGTATAGTTAGATTACTGGCCTGGTCCCCTTAAAGATATTTTCGATTCAACCAGAATTTTTCTTATCAAAAAAATGATTAATTTTGTCTAAACATTCAACTGCTTGATGCTGACTATTTAAGTTTCACAAAATAATTAATCAGTCACTAACACATACACGGACGCACACACGGAAAGAGGAAGAAAAATGGAAGAGGCAGACAGAAGAAATAAAATGAAAAGACGGAGAGAAAAGTTGGGGAGAGAGACGAGAGAAGATGGGGAGAAAAAGAGTTAGAGAGAGAGAGAAAGAAAGAAGAGTGAAATGAGAATTCAGAGGAAAGAGAGATGAGGAAGACGACAGAAAGAAAGAAGCGAGAATGAGAAAAGAAGTGTCAAAAAAGAGAAATAAAAACGGTGGAGGGAAAAGCAAAGAATGAAACTAAAGGAAGAGAAGTGGAGGGAACTGAGGGTGAGAAAGAAGAGAGAAAGGAGAGAGAAAGAAGAGAGAAAGGAGAGAGAAAAAGAGAAGTGAATTGAATCAAAAGAGAGAAAGAAGAATGATAAAAAGAGGATCATTGAGCGAAGGGATAGAAAGTAGGGAAAAGAATGACAAATGAGAAAGAGAGAGAGAGAGAGAGAGAGAGAGATAGAACTAAGTGTTTTTTTTTCAAAGAAAGAACATGAAAGAAAAGGAGAAAATGACAAGTGGAAATGAAAGAAGAAACAAGAGAGAGAGAGAGAAAAAAGAAAGAGACGTTAAAGAAGAGATAAAAAGAAAGAAAGAAGGCAAAGAAAAGAGGTAGTGTAATAAGACAGAAAGAAGAGAGAAAAAGAGAAAGAGAAATAGTAGAGAGAGGAGACAGAAAAAAGTTTGGTTTGGTTTGTTTTGTTTTACGGCGTATCAACCACAATGGGTTATTTAATGCTGTCAAGATTTTTACTGCTGGGAATATTTTTTCTTCAAAAATGCATTGTTGGTAATATTTTTTCCAAAAATATATTGCTGGCAATAATTTTTCCTTCAAAATTGCTGATAATTTTTTACAAAAACGTATTGCTAGTATTAAAACCTATTTTAAAACTTTCATAGTGTTTTAACTCCAGTTTGGGTGTTAACTATTAGCCCATAGCTTGGACCTGACAGGTGCTACCACCCCGAGTGAAGGTGGATCTGGGAACACCAGCAATTAAGAGGTCGTTCCAACCTCCTCAAAACCTCCTGATCAGAGGCTTACCGTTGGATGTAGTTTATCGTCTTACCTAGGATTCGGATGTAGCTTACCCAGGACACAGATGTAGTTTATCGTCATACTAAGGACACGGATGTAGTTTATCGTCTTAACCTGGATGCGGATGTAGTTTACCGTTATAGCCAGGACGAGGATTTAATTCATCGTCATATCAAGGACGCTGATGTAGTTTATCGTCTTACCCAGGACGCAGATGTAGTTTATCGTCATACCCCGGATGTGGATGCAGTTTACCGTCATACCCAGGGTGAGTATGTAGTTTATCGTCATACCCAGGAGGTGGATATAATTCATCGTTTTACCCAGAACGCAGATGTAGTTTATCGTCATACCCAGGACGAGGATGTCATTCATCGTTTTACCCAGGACGCGGATGTAGTTTGTAGTCATACCCAGTACGTCACTCATGTCACTCATCGTCATATCAAGGACGCTGATGTAGTTTATCGTCATACCCAGAACGAGGATGTAGTTTATAGTCATACCCAAGACGAGGATGTCATTCATCGTTTTACCCAGGACGCGGATGTAGTTTATCGTTTTACCCAGGACGCGGATGTAGTTTATCGTCATACCCAGAACGAGGATGAAGTTTGTAGTCATACCCAGTACGTGGATGTCACTCATCGTCATATCAAGGACGCTGATGTAGTTTATAGTCATACCCAGGACGCGGATGTAGTTTATCGTCTTACCCAGGACGAGGGTGTAATTTACCGTCATACCCAGGACGCGGATGTAGTTTATCGTCATACCCGGGACGAGTATGTAGTTTATAGTCATACCCAGGACGTGGATGACATTCATCGTTTTACCCAGGACGCTGATGTAGTTTATCGTTTTACCCAGGACTCGGATGTAATTTACCGTCATACGCAGGACGCGGATATAGTTTATCGTCATACCCAGGACTCAGAGTGTAGTTTAACGTCTTAGCTCGAACGGATAGAAAGAAGGAATAAAACGAGTACCAGATAGATAGAAAAAAGGAGAGGAAGACGCGAGAAAGATAAAGAAAGATAAAAAACATGAATAGAGAAAGGAGAACTAAATAAATAGAAGCTACACACTTTTGGATTTTACGTGCAAATTAATATTTGCAACTTTTAAATTCATCTTAATTTCGGAACATAAAAAATAAATACAAATTTGATCTTGCAAATGTCGATAAGCTAATGCAAAGATTTTAGATAGAAAGAAAAAGCTAAAATTTAGATAATTTTTATTAATGCAAAGGAAAAGAAACATTGACTAAAACCACCATATCTCATCGATCTCTCTTAATTGACATGGTTGCTTTCCACCGATAGATGTAAACATTAAAAACACATTTATAAATATTCATTAAGTAGGAAACTTTCCTTAAGTTTAAAACCTCGGTAGAAATTGATGCAGGGAAGGAAAGAAGAAGAAGAAGAAAATGTTAATCAATGAAATAGATTGGAATTAAATCGCAGATGATGCTTGAGTAAAGCAAATAAGAAAAGTAAAAAAAAAAAAAAAGAAAAGATGGCTAACCATGAACAGCAAGAAGGTATAGTCATGGGTAATAGGAAAAACCCAAGATGCGCATTACAAATTGGAGATATCAACATCAAGCAAGTACAGATGTCTAAATATATAGAAAGGGTTTTAACAGACGAGGACAGTCGACTGATAGATAGCGGTTCTTATTGAGGAATCAGATAGCCGAGTTCGAATTCCAGTAGGATCCATTACTTTCACTTATTTTCACTAATAGAAAGAATCCTCTGCTTCTATGGGTAAATAGCAGGACAGACTGGTTTCTATAACCTTGGGTGGCAACGGGTCTAGGATTTTGAATTCAAAACTAGCCTGGAGGCAAAACTTGATGGGCAGATAGGGGCTCTGGAGCCTTGCAAGGCAACGAAGCTAGGGTAAAGTCACTTCGAAATATATCCTGCATCCTTGCACACCACTTATCTCGTGGCAGCCTTTGAACCAGAAAGAAGATGCCAGGCATTGGAAGAGGGTGAGGACTGGGAATGCACATACCTTTCTCACTTAAATTCCAGGTGCAGTTCATTCTACGGCACTAGATGAATCTTTACTCTCACGAAAGGAGTCATGGGTAATGTGTCGATTGAATAGTTATGCGTTCGCTCACGACGCGAAAATTCATGCATACATGTCTTAACAAAGGATGGAAAATGTGACACCGAAATCCGAAGTATGCATTGGACGAGTAAAAAGAGCATACCAAAAGCAATGAAAAATGCCGTGAAACAGAAAGATCTGTTTTTAATCTGGAGAACATTTTTTCCATACATTGCTATTAATCAAGCATTCCAGATAATGATATTTTACAGGTGATTTTAAATTTCATCCACTGGTATAACGTAAGGGGTCAATTTGCAATAAACTTACATAGCAAAATGGACGCCATATTAACTTTCATAAGACGTAATAATAAAATAATAATAATAATAATAATAATAAAATAATAATAATAATAATAATAATAATAATAATCATATTTGTTGTATTGAGTGTTTAATTTATAGGAAAATGAAAAGAGGTCAATTTGCAATAAACTTACATAGCAAAATGGACGACCTAATAACTTTCATAAGACGTAATAATAATAATAATAATAATAATAATATTTGTGGTCTTGAGTGTTTAATTTATAGGAAAATGAAAAAAAATTATTTCACGTCGAAATGGCTATTGCACCACTACACCATGCAACGAAAGATGAAAATATCGCCATGACGAACAATGAAAAGGCGAATATATTTTCTGCTATTTTTTGTTGTTTATTTATCAATTCCCCTGCACGGTCTTGTGGATGTGGAGGAAGACTCTTGTGGTATCTGCTACGTCTGTTACGATATAATAAGATTTTGCTTTAGACCGGCGAGAATTCCCACATCTCTGTTCATCACTACATCACAATGTGAAGCTTGCAACTCATCAGGCCCGGAACGCTCTAACAATGACGGCCCCAAAACAGGCAGCATTAAAACTACGCTTCAATTCTTTGAGTTGCCTGCGAGTAGAAATAACTAACTTCCGGATAAGTGTCACTTGTTCCCGAAATTTTTAATTTATCTATCTATTTGTTTTATTATCTTTTAGTCAGTGGGTTGGCGGTATTACTTCGTAGATTGCTGGTTATAAAATTTACAGAAAGGTCAGACTCAGATAAAATCATTTACCATCTATTTCTATATGGGTGTCCTGACATAATCGTGTAGGGAGCCATTTTATATTTCTTTTTTTCTTTACGCTCAGTTATTTTGTTTATCGCAACTGCTCAAATCAATATTCTACGATATAATGCGGGAATAGAAAATAAGAAATGCACTCTCAGTGAGACTCAAACTCGCAACGGGAAGCTTATATTATCTGAGAGCTGCTCTGATCGCTTCAGTTGCAGAACTTTCCAAACTTGCTAGTAATTTATTACCGGAACGTTTTCAAAATATTAAATACATTTTAATGAAATTATTTGTATTTTTATCTAAATATTCTGATCGGGAGGTTTCGCGGAGCATGGAACCACCTCTTAATTGCTGTTGTCCCCTGGTTCAACCGAATCCGGTGTGGTAGCACCTGTTAAGGTCCCAGCTATGTGCAAATAGTTAACCTCATTGTTATCTGAAATTATTATTATTATTATTATTATTATTATTATTTATTAAAAAATTAAAATTATAATAAATGTATTATAATAAAAATTATGAAAATAAAAATATTGAAAATAGTTTTAATGAATTAAATGAATTCTAGTATTGGGTTGGTGCATAATTATCAGGCGTTTTTTAAACAATATTTATTATGAAAAAAGAAACATAACAATTCAACAATAACATTTTTAAATGATTATTCCGGAGCGTATGATTATCGACACGCATTTTTATAACCTGAAAATAAAATAATATTTTTATTAAAAAAGTAAACAAAACAGCAATTTTTATTAACAAATAACCCGTCTTCAAAAGCGCCTGATAATTATACATTGACCCAATATGAAATGAATCCTACAACTATTATATGACTGGTAATACTAATATAATACTAAGTGTATATCTATTTTTGCAGTTGTGATGGTTCTATAATAAGATCATCATAGATCTATTCTAAGTTTAAGCAATATTTTCGATTGATATGTATAATCAATAAACTGCAACTGATTTAATTTTTTAAAAAGAGAAACACTGAGTATTATTTAGAATACGAGAAATTGTGCATGATGCCGTTGTTAAATCTCCGCGAGGTTGTCTCTATTTTGCAGATCGTGGATTAAACTGTTAGATAATGCTGATAAGGTGGTTAAGTCACTGAATTACTTCGAGCAACGCTTTTATCGACTGGGCCTTGTATCATTGGCAAGGGGAATAGCACGTGGGAATAAAACAATCTACCCTAAATAAAGGGTTCGCTTCGAAATTCCAATCACCTGAAGAAGACCGGAGCGTGCAAAAACTGAAACATCGTGAATATGATAATCAAGATGAGGACAGCGGTCCGAACAATGTAAAGTACATAAATAGGCATATGAAAATTTCACCAAAATATTATACTGTAACATCCACCCAACGTTGCCACATTGGTGCGGCAAGGAAAATTGGTTCTCTGAGGCGGGCCAGAAGGATTTTCTCGCTTGAGTCCATCCTTCAAATCTACAAATCACCCATTCATTCTTGCATCGAATACTGCTGTCATATATGGCCGCTGTTTTTCTCGAGGTCCTCAACAAAAACTAGAGACGGATATGCAATGTGTCCTAAGCTGGCATCACGTCTTTTCAAATAAACGTGCTGTGGCTTCCCTCTGTCTTTTCTAGAAGTATTTTCATGGAAGCTGTTCTGACGAGCTGGTTCCCAAACTGCATGAATTTAAACGTGCTACTAGGTTGGCATCTCGGTCCTACCGTTTCATTGTCGAAGCGGTTAAATACAACCGTCTCTTCTTCAAAAAATTCTTATCTCGAACTTCCCGACAGTGGAAGTCCCATCCTCCTATTTGCTTCCCTGATAGCTCTAATCTTCAAATATCACAATGTAATACCATTCTTCTCTTTATACTTTCCTCAAACACCCACTCTTTATTCTTGCTCTCTCATACACTATAATCCCTTGCGTGTTAGTGGCATTCCTGCCTTGTTTGGGGTGAAATGCTTAAAAAAGAATTGTAATAATATTTATGACACGCCCAAACAGTATATGCGTTTATAGATGGGGTAGAATACCCCTTTGTTTCCTCTCTTTCTCCACTTTGACTGTTTAGATTTTTCATTCTGACTTCGCGATATTAATTTCAGTCTATCTATCTCAGTCTTTTCATAATCTATCATCTATGATTATTCTTTCTTTTTTCTATCTATCTATCTATCTATCTATCTATCTATCTATCTATCCCAGTCTTATCATTATCCTATCTTATCTATCTATCTATCTATCTATCTATCTATCTATCTATCCCAGTCTTATCATTATCTATCTATCTATTTATCTATCTATCTATCTATCTATCTATCTATCTATCTATCTATCCCAGGCTTATCATTATCTATCTATCTATCTATCTATCTATCTATCTATCTATCTATCTATCTATCTATCTATCTATCTCAGTCTCTTCATAATCTATTATCTATGTTTATTCTTTCTTTTTCTTTCTTTCTTTCTTTCTTTCTTTCTTTCTTTGGAGATAAATATTTGCGATGAAATCAAGGGCTGGCCTTGTTGGAAATCGAGTCGCAGCTATAATGTATGTAGTTTTCAATTCCCTATATATATATATATATATATATATATATATAGAGAGAGAGAGAGAGAGAGAGATAGACGGTTCTTGGAAAGTCAGATCGACATTTATAAGCAATATGAAAATATCTTGGAGAAAATTAAAACGATGGACTTTTACATGAAATTCACTGTTATGAACGATTATTTCGTATGCAACACGACTCAAGTGTCACATCCATTTAATTTAGACTGAAATATGCAGTTTGGAGAGCAAATCGAATCAAACGCTTTCCGTTTGAAATGCCATCATTAAAAAGGATATCAAGTATGGAAGGCAGCATGCGCTTAGAATGTTTAATATAACACGTAATTGGTAAAAGACTCAGTTCTACTTTGTCAATTTATCCTGTTCATAGCTTATTAATTCAAGCATAATTCTAACAAGCTTTGATGCGTGAGAGACACGAGGGGGTGCTGAAAAACTCTAGGCCCGAAAAAAATATTCTAAAAATAAATTCTGATATTGGGTTAGATCTTGGGGAGCGGGTCAAGTTCAGAACTTTTCAGCAGCCTAACATATATAACGTTCGGTCTTTGCATCATATATTAAAAAATACAATTCCACTGAAGTGATATTTTTATCTCCTAAGGTTGTCTCAATAACTACCCAATACTTTTCGACTAAATGATACAGTACAAAAGAAAGATGCAAGACCAGCTGAAATTTTCTAAAAAAAAACAAAAAAATTTTTTCATAGAAATAAAGTGATAAAAGTTTGATTGTAGAAAGGTACACTTTTTCGTAGGCCAGAGAGTCCACATGTCTATAGTTCAAACAAAAAATATATCAATTACTGTGAGCAAGAAAGGGAAAGATTCTGATGACTGCATGATTTAATACAGACGTCGGTCAGCTGTTGCAAATATTACTTTTTTAAAAAACTATTTCACCCCAAGCAAGGCGGGAGTGTCACTAGCTTGCAAGGGGTTACAGAGAAAGAGAGTAAGTGTAAAGAGGGGTGTTTGAAGAAAGGATATAGAGAAAGACAGGGTTCAGGATCAAGGCATCGGAAGATGTCGACATTACATTTTAATGATTGAACATTATAGCTATCAGGGTAATAAGTAGGAGGAAGGGCGTTCCACTGTCGGGAATAGCAAGAGAAGAAGCTGTTGGAGTAGAAGAGACGACTACATTTAACCATTTCAATAGTGAAAGGGTGGGACCGAGATACCAACCTTGTAGCATACTTATATTCATGCAGTTTGGGAACCAGTGAAAATAGCTCGTCAGAGCAGTTGCCATGAAAATATTAGTAGAAAAGACAGAGGGAAGCCACAGCACGTTTGCGAGAAAGTGACTGTAGACGAGATGCCAGATCATATTGCATATCCGTCTCTGGATTTTGTTGAGGACCTCGAGATGAATAGCGGGATTACCAGACAATATATGACAACAGTATTCAATGCAAGGAAGAATGGTTGATTTGTAGATTTGAAGGATGGATTCAGGCGGGAAAAACCTTCTGGCGCAACACAGAGAACCAATTTTCTTTGCGACAATAACTTTTCTATAGCGAATGATTTGGATAACGGTGCCTAAACTCACTACAATACTTTTAATGCTTTGTAGTGTCAAAATGAGCTTAATTCAAAATTGTCTTTATAGAATAGCCCCATTTGATTGATTCATTGACTCGTTTTTTACGGCTTATCAACCCGTTTTAGGTTATTTTAAGCGAGAAAATATTGTAATATTTTTATTTATACTATTTACATTATTTGGACTCTTGTCCTCATCCTTGTTACCATTATTCACGACGTTTCGGCCTTCGTACACGCCGACCTTCTTCGGATGATTGGAATTTCGAACAGAACGCATTATCTCGCCCGCAAAATACACAGTGGATAGAAACGTTGCTCGAATCCAGTGACCTGATTGTGAGTTTAATGCCTGGCTACAGTTGTGTTGAACAAAAATTGGAGAGTTCAGTTAAAGGGAGATAACTGATACTGAGAAATAAGTCCTCAGTGGACGAAATAAAGGCTTCAGTTCGAAATTCCAATCATCTGACGAAGGCCAGATCGTGCAACAGCCGAAACGTCGTGAATATGGCAACAAAGATTAGGACAAACGCTCGAACAATGTAAATAGTGTAAATAATTAGAATACCTCATCTTAGAAATATAGAGAGATATTGTAAGATTTTTTTGCGATAATAAGGGTCTAGTGATACATATCATATTTATTTTTTGAGATGATAGTTGGGAGCGGGAGAAGTGGATTCATAACTTTCCAAACGGTATTTAGGCATAAGTGAATATAACGAACCCAACAGGAATTCGAACTCGGCTCTTCGATTAACAATCCCGAGACATTATCCATTACACCATCCGCACATCCAAGCTTACTGCTCCTGGTATTCCTAAGCAGTCACCCATCTAGGTACTGACTGGGATGGACGTTGCTTAACTTCGTTGATCCTACGGGAACCGATGTTTCAACGTGATGTGGCAGTAAGCTTGCATACCCTCGAATTGAAGTGAATTTTACACTAATTATATTCGCACTTTTATCCTCATCTTTGTTGTTGTTACCACAAACTTTCGGCCGTTGTGTCCTCCAGCCTTCATCAGCAGCTAGGTTAAATTTAATGCTTCAAGTTTACTACAGCAAATTGGCTTACGGGACAATGCTTAGTAGATAAGAGCATTGGATTGTGAATTTGGTGACATACGGGTTTTTTAGTTCTATCCCTGGGTCGGATAGTGTGTATTTGCACTCAGTGGAAACGGGCGAGCAATACGGTACTAAATAAAATAAAAAGTAGATAATAGAACAGTCTACCCCCGAGAACAGTCTATCCCCAGTATAGTCTACCCCCGTAGATTAAATAATTGGTTCAGTTCCGAATTCCCTGTAGATTACCCAGGTACAGTGTAACCCGGATATAAGAGAGTTGTCGGGACCGGAGAAGAAGTCTCTTATACCAGGGTTTATCTTATATCCGGGTCTGGTCTATTTTGTTTAGGTAAGTATGGGAACAATTTGGGACCAGAGAAAATCTCTCTTATATCCTGGTTTCTCTTATATCCGGGTTTGGTCTATTTTGTTTAGGTAAGTATGGGATCTAATTTGGGACTAGAGAAAATCTCTCTTATATCCGGGTCTCTTATATCCGGGTTACACTGTATAAACCTGAGGAAGTTCGAAACGTTGTGATAACAACAGCAAAGATGAGGACAATAGTCCGAATATAAATAAGACAAATAGTGATAACTCCTCATCCCATAAATTAGACAAAAATGAATAAACACTTAATGTCAAAACTTGGCCACTTGACGCAAGCCAATATTAAGAACCAGTCGTTGATTTGAACATGCAGACTCCACAGTTGGGGTTGCTTCTTTGGTTTCAATAGTAATTAGGTTTTACCAGTTAGGCTAGCTATCACTACGACCAAACGATTTTTTGTCTTTGAGCGACAACCAAGAATAGAGAGATCTGGTCTGCTATTTATACCATTTGAGACGTGGTAGAAGGGATCGATTTGTACTTTTTCTAAGAGAATCTGCGCGAAAGTGAACGCAACGGCTTCAGTCAGAAATTGAACTTCTTACGCTACCTGCACATCTTACGGGTCAGTAGTCACACTATGAAATGATTATCATTTGGAATAAGGAGTTTGCTGGTTATGAAAACGTTTGCATGTAACATAGACAGATCCGTTGACATTCTCGTACATATTTCTGTTTACTTTTTCGAAATTTAGCAGGAAGGCCGAAGAACGGTTCAGCAGAAAATGATGTAATAACAAATAGCAGAACGCATTCTGATATTATAATAATAATAATAATTATTATTATTATTATTATTATATGGGTTAATAATCAACGCAGCTTTGAAGATTAAAGACAATACCTCCCACCCAAGAGACCAATGCTGTCACTAAGCAATATGCAATATTTTTTTACATTTTAGTACCAATCTCTATATATAAAGCAGATAATATCTGTTTTTCTGTCTGTCTGTGTGATACCTTTTTACTCGAGATCCATCCAATCGATTTTGACCAAACTTAACACATAAGTCTTAGCGTAAAAAATCGATAACTTTTAAAAAAATCAATAATTAGTAAAGCTGATCAGAAAATATAAATTAAAATTTTTTCTTCCGATTTCGTTCAGACTCAGTATGTAGGTTACTTACATCATGACGAGCTCAACTATACGTCATTTTTATTTCTACGCCACTACGTTTAGCGAAAAACCGCGAAAAACGAAAAATCGATTTCAACACAAATCGATTTCAACACAAGTTTTAGACTAAATACTCCCTCAATTTTCAAGTAATCTAATACAAACTTCATTAAGTTGTAGCCAACAATAAGTTGATTGTATAAAAGTCATTTAACTTGATAATCGAGTCCACCTATATTGTGAAAATCCGCGTAAATAGCGAAAAATGACAATTTTTACTGGTTTCTTTCTTATTTTTCGTTGATCTTTCAACCAATTTTCATAAAACATAACAATTGCTTTATAAATGCATCGTCACCCCTGATAGCACACTGACAAATTGAATTTCAAAAGCTCCAAAATAATTGTTGTCTGAAGTGGGTTTTCATGTTGCCTGTTTTATCCCTTCATGACTTCTTCTAACTTACATTGAATAAATAGAGACTACTTCTATTATATCAGTAATTGGATTAATTCAAAGTGTTTTTTTAATGAAAGTACTTTAAAGATAGGCTCTGTTACATCTAAACATGATGCTGTTTTTGCTCCATTCTATTTGAACGCTTTTTCTGATCAACCAGCTGGGTATGGCTGCTCGTAATGAAATTCTTCTTTTCTGAATTATGACTTAAGGAATTATTATTATTATTATTCGTTTAATTTATTGTGATTAATGTCCTCGCCACTGTTTTTGTATTTGGAGCATTTAATCTATTTCTAGGTTGAGATATGATTATTATTATGCACGTAATTACTCGAAATAGCGTCCTAATTTCGTCTGTTATAGTCACAATGTTTTAGATTTAGCTTTACTAGGTTTTAAAAAAAAATCACCCTGTACAAGAAGCCACTCGAGGGAAAGGGTTACAGAGAAACAGTTTATGTGGATAGGTGGGGAAGATAACGGTTAACCCTAGACTTGAACAAGTTAAGCTTGTAGTGATTGGAGTCGGCTCCACACAGCAGTTGTCCGCTACTCACTTATGATATAACGGAATGTGGGTGGCAAGGCGAGTCCTAGCCGTGAAGGTTAGAACTGACAACAAGCAAGGAATGCAGTTCATCCGAGCACTTTCCATGGAAGTAGCGATAGATCAGTCAGAGGCTTGTCACATACTGTCTGAGAGAGAGAGAGAGAGAGAGAGAGAGAGAGAGAGAGAGAGAGAGAGAGAGAGAGAGTGTTATACCGGAACATACCTATTCTATTGTAATAGACTCTCCCACACATAATAAGTAGTAGTAGTAGTAGTAGCAGTCGCCAGGGCTCAGTGGAGTTGAGTGAGTCAGTCGATGTCGGACATTAAAGTATCATCACCACAACTAGATTGCTGCGTCATTAACTATTATTTTCAAGTTCCTAACGTTTTGTACGTCGAACCTAATTTATGACCGACTTAGTGAAATACAAGTCTCCACTGTGAAAACTACTCTACAACAGAGAGAGAGAGAGAGAGAGAGAGAGAGAGAGAGAGAGAGAGAGAGAGGTTGGAGGGTGGAGAATAATTTGTCACCCACAAAGACGCGGAAATTCTGGGGTGAGGTAGAGGGAACAGGCCATTTTTTTCGGTGGCTCTTATGTACGAGTTCCATTTGAAGCCGGGGTGGGGGGTGAAGAACCAATAGTCTCTCAAGGCACGGACCTTCCTCGATGGTAACATCCATTTATCGTAACTGGTGACAGTTTTGGCGATGATGGAATGTAACTAGTTCCGCATTGAATGTAACCAGACTATATTGTCACCCACTGCGATCCCCATAAGTCATTCAAGTTAGACGTTTACAGAATAAAGTTGTTGGAAGTAGATAATGGTTGACCCGAGATGAGAAGTTATGATTATAGTGGTCCGGAAAGTATCCACTCGGGAGTTCATTCCATAAAGTAATAGTTCTTGAGAAGAAGCAGTCCGAGTGGAATTTTCTCTTTACCAATGGTATTTGAAGGGAATAAAAATGAATCAACATGGCAACAAGATGTGATCTTGTGCAACTAAGGAATGTAACCCGTTTGAACGTTTGCTATGAAAATAGCGATAGAGTAGTGAGAGGCTTGCCACTTTTCGTCGGTATGAAAGTATATCAATTTATTCTGACTAGTGTACTCATCTTTTGTTTTTATAGTGACAACGTATTTATGGTGGCATATTTTTTCTCATTTTGCAGATTTATATTGTTCTAACTTTGCTGTTCTTTATTGTCCTTAGTTTTCGGCTGTATATAGTTTTCATTTTAGAATACGGACTAAATAAAGATGATTCGTCTCTGTGGACGATGCAAGGTGTGACCCATCTGTTAGGATCTTGTGGTACTAAAGAACAGCAAGAGGAATAAGAATAATATACCCACATAGATTTAATAAAGGGATTGTTTATAAATTCCATTGAGATTTCAAAGTACAAAAACACCTGAAGAAGTCTGTCAGAACAACTGAAACGTTGTGGGTATAGCAACAAAACTGAGTATACTGGCTCAAATAGAAAAGCATATAAATAAGAATTGACATATCGTAAAATCAATTAACCTAACTCATGATCTCTGAACTGATGGTCCAATGCTATAACTACGGAGATTAACCAGGAAATGTTGATGGAAAGGGGTTGACGAATAAACTTTGTGATCCACTTAGTACTTAGATAATAACAATGCCGGTTGTCGAGTTGATATATATGAGAGAAAAGAATATTATATCGAACAATCCTATGAATGTTATTTGATACGGCATCCCAAATAAAATCGACGTGAAGACGTGAATGGCGGGTCGAATAAATGAATAAATATCTATGAAAGAGTTATATCAATCATCTACTTATTTCTGTAAGTCACTGATGTAGACATCAGAAGCCAAGTCTTTCGTCATTTCAAATACAGTCAATGCAGATTATTCAAGTACTAAAACTAACGAAGGCCATGCGATATTAGATTTAGATATACAGTGTCACTGTACGCTTGCCAAATAAAAGTCATCGCTTTTCCAATGATACACTTACGGGGTTAGTTTGTTGGCAGTGAATACTTTTACTCGTTGTAGGCCTTTTAAGAAGCATTTGCTGTCATAATTTTGTAGTAATGATTATTTTTGGTGCCTGCTGGCATGTTTACAAAACATACTACCATACTATGGTGGCACAGGTTTTCTGTAGAAAATAGTTTGGGGCAATGAAAGTTTATTCAAATGACGATACGCGCAGATATTTGCAGTGCTAAATATTTTAGAAGGGTAGGGGCTTATTAAAAATTATTTTTACCAAATCTTAATTCTTCTTTTATGTGCCGTGTCCCT